CCGTGCTGGTGTCACTCGTTGTCACCCACCCTGCAGGGCCGGACGGGGGGCAGGGCTGGCACCGCTCCTCCTTGGGGTACTCAGGCCAGGGGTCAGGAGGTAGATCCTGCAGGGAAAAACTGGGATTAGGGAATGGGACAGGATTGCCCACACGCTGTCCTTGTCACCAGAGCAGTGAGCGTCCCCTGCCCCATGTCACCACTGCGGTGCCACCACGGCCAGGTGCCACCAGCCCTCACCTGGTACCAGCACTCTCCAAAGGCACCCTCAGCTCCTGGCACGGCTGCTCTGTCATGCCAGGGCGGTGGCAGGGGACACTCGGGGGGTGCCCACCTCCTGTCCTGCTCCTCCTCCTTCCAATGGACGTCCCCAGGGCCAGGGAAGGCTCTGGGGCTGGGCTGCAAAGGGAACGGCCACGGTGAGGACGCTCAACATGGGAATTTTGGGATTTTTTTTCCAATGAGCCCAATGGGATTTTGGGGATTTTTTTTCCAATGAGCCCACTGGGATTTTGGGAATTTTTTTCCTATAAACCCACTGGGATTTTGGGGATTTTTTTCCCCACGAACCCACTGGGATTTTTGGGATTTCTTGCTGCTCCCCCTCCCCGTTGTGACCCTCAGCTCTTTGTGCCTCTCCTGCTCGCTGCTTTGGGGGCTGTGGGTAAATCCCTCCCTGCAGCAGCAGGATGCAATTAGGGGTGAACCAGCTCAGATTTCACCTGGCTGTTAAAATCAGAAACAGTGGAGGGGGAGGATCAGGCTGCCAGCAGTGCTGGAGAGCCCTGAGAGCAGCAGCGACTCAAAAATCCCAAAATGAAACCCCACGAGGATGTGAAACCCCGAGAGCAAACGGCACTGGCAGGGAACAGGGGCAGATGTTTCCTGGGAGGAACCAGAGGGCAGCAATTTGATTTTTTTTAAGGAGAAATGCTCCACAAACTCCCCAACATCCGTCATTTCATGCTGCAAAAGCTGAACTCCACTTTTGAACAGGTGATGCCGAATTTTGCCCCAAAAGGCGAGAATAACTGCCTAAGAGACTCAGCTTAAGTCAAATAGGCAGGAGGTATTTTATTGCGACGCGTCGGAGAAATCACAAAAGGGATTTCTGAGTGTCCCGTAACAAAGCAGGCCTTTTATACAGTTTTGGATGCAGGGTTACATCATACCACATACATAATCATGTCTTTGCATGCATATTCATAAGGGGCGTGGTGTAGGCGGAGTGTGGGCGGGGACATCTCTTCTGAGGATCATCTTGGTGGTCGTTCCGGTTGCCTTCATCGTGGGCGGGGCTCTCCTGAGGAGTCTTCCTCCTTAAACTTTGAACTCCTGTCCTAATATGGCCAATTCCCGGTGTACTTGGCTTGGTCCCCATGGCTTGGCAAGGCTCTTAGGGTCAGTTTGACATTGTTGGCTCTGAACATGCTTAGCTCGTCAATTCCCCTATCCCTGTCTCTCTTTCCTGTTTGCCCTGCTTACCAAACTTCCAACAGAAGAATCCACCAGGATTGCTTTCGGGTTAATGAGTAACCTGGCGCACAGCGTCATCAGCAATTCCTGAATGTGGATGGGGCGAACCCCCTTGAACATAACGTGAGACCACCCGTTGGTGATATGGGACATGGCTCCAAATTTAGGAGTTGTGTCAGTAGCTAACCGTGGGATGGGACAGGACTGTTTAGGGTTGATTTTCAGTTTGTGGCGCTGCCCAAGCATTTTGATCAATAATGCCCTATAAGTACCACTGAAAACAAAATTATGTTCTTGTGCAATAGCAAGGTACGTAGGTGGCAAAATGCTGATTGGAAAGGCAGTTTGGGGCTTCAACAGGGGAATTTCCATGGAGTGAGTGTGGATTCGTTTCTGGAGCCCTTCAGGGTCACTCCTGGAGTGAGCCAAAGAGATTTGTGTGGGTCTGGCTGCGCAACACAATCTGAACTGTAATTGCTAATTAATTTTGAAAATATTGATTTAATTAGCAGTGCCCTGGTGTAACCATTGTGATAAATGAATGTG